AAGTCTGCCATCTGTTATCATCTTTAAGTCCAGCAGTATTTTCTCTTTTTTATTTATGTTGCCTTTCATCGGAGTTGCTGCCTGGGCAATCTATGAGCTAGTGCAAGCATTGATTACTGTAATGAGTTCTCTGTTACACCTATAATGCTATATACTGCTTCTTTATTTACCCTACTGCTTGTCAGAGTATTACCGTATTATACCTGGAAGGGACATGATGCTGTAAAAGAAGCAAACAGAGAAGGGGAGGGATAGATGTCTTACAGAGAATCTGTCAGCTAAAAAAAATGCTCATTATTTCATTCACTAATTAGATAAAATAACAAGCTTCTTAGTAGAGATGAATAAAGCCTTAAATTTCCTCCTTGGCAATTCCCTTGCTGCACTCCTACTATCTGCTTTTCTGGGTTCACCTCTGGTGATCCAACTGTGTTTCTTTCTTTTCTTGTTTACTTTTTTATTTTACTGTTTACTAGAAAAGTTAAAAATGTACTGTTGAATATTCCTTAGCATGCTATTAACTTAGGCTTATCAACATGGAGACCCATAGCAAGAAGGCATTGAGTGAGCAAATCCCTTATTTTACTTATACTAGACAGTATGTCCTTCAGCATTGGACATGTTTTATAAACTTGGACCCCAAAAGGGACCTTTATTTTAAAACATTGGCATGCTGAGTGATGGGTAATGGGATTCTCTGCATTACTGCTTACTGAAAAAAGTGGTACATTGTTAGTATGGGAAGAGGAAGTTAGTGCAGCTTAAAGGCCAATATCTTTTTTAGGGAAGTTACCCTTCAAAGTTTTTTTCTCCTCCTCAGTGTAACTCACACAGCTAAATAGTTAACTTTAGCCTCACTCTTAAGACCTTTACCATGTGGCCCTGCTTATCATGGCAGTCTTTGCACATAAAATGTCCTGGCCAGGCCCGTGCACACTGTTTTTTTATTTTGTTTGGCTGGTTTATACTTATGGAATCCCTAGCCATCCAGGGGTGTATTGCCCCAGGAATGAAAAGAGCAAGTGGGATGCGTGTGCAGTAGTTTTAAGGCCTGACCAGGCAAAGGCTGTGCAGCATCAGACTCACTAAAAGTAAAGTTGTCCTTTAAGTAATGTGAGGGGTGAGCTGGCAGCCCAACTATGTACTGTACAATATACAGCCATACAATGATGAATATCTTCCTTAGTTTCTGAGAATTGTTACTTGCAATGGTCTTTGTGCAATAGTGTGGTTGACTGTGGGGTTTCTTAGCAGTCTGGTAGTCAGTAGAGCATGTGCAATACTGACCAGCAATATAGTTTGTGCAGAGTGATCTATGGATTTGTGGTCTGCTCTAGCCAGGCTATGGACAGTCACATATTTAAATGCAATAACAATAATAAGCTTTAAAACAAGCCCCACTGACCTCTGTATCTGAAGGCACTGTCAAGCAAGTCATCCTTAACCTTCCTTCCACACCAGAAACACTGCATGCATTGTCAACCCCCTCAATTACCAACTGAACTGTTAATAGTGGAATGGACTTTGATGCAGCAATATGTGTCTTTTCTTCAGATTTTAATCACTTGAAAAGCTATGCATATTGACTGGACTGCACGGTCACCGGTTTTGAGGAGCACTAATCTGCTAGAAACTCAAATAATAATTCCAGAAAAGTTTAATGTTTTTGTAAAGTCAGGCTCCAAGCCTACATAGTTCCTCCTGACTGTGTATATGAAAAAAAAAACCCTCAGATGTCTGTGGAGAAAACATGAGTGAATGACAAGTGTTTCAAATGTCAATGTCCTGGAAGTGAATAGCAGTGAGGTCAGCTACAGCACACACACCAAAATCACAGTTAAAAATTCCAAATATGCATCACACATTCCTCAAACAAGTCCGACATTCCATAATGGGGCATGTATTAGCCAAATTAAGGTACATGCCTTGTTAATATATACAAATAAGGTCTTGGGTCTTACATATGGAGGAGTTTTCTTCACCCTGGACATGTAATTGTGTGATGGTAGACATCATCTGTAAACAAGAGACCAATCCCCACATAGGAAGCTTTTACATTTTAATGAAACATTTATTTCAGTATGTTTCAACATGCACGTTGACGTGTGTTCATTGTGCATCGGGTTAAGGCAGCCCATTCATATAACAACATCAAGAAAACCTGCACCTTTTTTAAAGCAGCACATGCTGTATGTTTTGGTTTACTACAGTACAGTCTGTTGGCACCTTCTGGACTTGTATGTTGTGGTGCTATTCTCTGTGCATGCATTGAGATAGCACACAGTAAAATACACATTTTCCTGCTCTGCACAGCAAAGCATGGATATGAAGCCAGCCTGAAAGTTGTCCAATGAAGTCAAGATCAGAAATCAACACATAACAACCAATCAGATTACAGTTTACTGGTGTCCGATAAGCTATTAGGTAATCTCTGTTTGCTACGGGTTACTGCACTCTGTACTAGTCAATGTACAACTAAAAGAAAAACATGCTTTTTAAGCAAATTGTTTTCTATTTTTCTTCCTGTCCATCAAACAGGCATAGTTTTCTAGTATTCAGTAAGCAGAAAAACACCATATTCCATAACAACCAATTAGAATTCATATTTGAAAATCAGTAACCTGTTGGTTCAGTAAACTAAAACATCATTGGTCACTGCAAGTTGTTGTATTTGACATTTCAGGTTTTAAATTGTTAATCACCGAGCTTCTGGCCACTGAATCAGACACGTTAGATACATTCTATACTCAATTTTTAATTTGGATTAATTTTTCTGGATCAGATAGGACGAAAGCCCTTCTTTGTGACCTCTAGAGTCCTCTCATCATTTTTTTAAATTTTATTTACTCTTCTTTCATTACTGCCTGACTTTGACATCCTGACTAGGTTACTTTATTCTAGCTTCTCCCCAGGTCAGGTGCTAGTCAGGCCCTTCTCTATTCCTGTAACCCATCCCTCCTCTTCCCTTCTTCAACTGTTCTTTCTAATTTCTTTTTTCCTCTCTCTTCTATCTCTTTGTGCATGTTAGCCTTTCTCTTTCTTCATTTGTTCTTATTCACATAGTTGGATTTTCCATCCTGCAGCCCTGTAAGGGCGCTTGAGATACCTATGGTTGCTGTTGCTACCTCTGTTATATATCATTTGGCCAGCCTAGTAACTTGATTGTTATATTGTTCCTCTACGCTATGTATTATTGCCTTTATGTCATGTTTTCTAAACTGTTATTTATCAGCATAGCTATTGCTGCCATTATTGGACTGGAGGTAAAAGCAGACAACCAGTGCCTGCACACTGAATTATTACTACGTTTGATGATTTGTTTCCATTCATTATCCGTCATCTTGTGCTGTTAATTTTAGGCTTTATTTTTCACTGATTACATAAAAGTGAATGGAAGATAATTCCTTTGTGTTATGCAATTGCCATACTGTTTTCATAATAAATGCTTTCCATTTTAAGACGTCTTTTTCAGAATGTATATATGCAGTCATGTTTCTAAAGATTGCATGCACATAAGTATTAGATGCATTCTGTTCTCAGAATAGATACAGCACTTTAAAAGGATCATTTGGATATGTTTATTGTGAAATATGATGCAAAAAAACCGAAAGGACACCTAAAATTACATCATACAATTTCCTTTCATAACATCAGCATTATAATAGCAATACAAACAATAGTTATTTTTGACAATCCAATATAAGCTTACTTTAAAAAAATCTCCTTGTTGTGGGCTCTGCCTATCTGCTAGACATCTCTTTCAACAACGTCCTGTATTCCCTGAATGTGGTTTACTTTCACTAAAATCTACATATCCCAGTGTTCTATCGAAAGCTTTGACTTGTCAACCTCACATCCGGTGACTGCCATGTACCGCAGATTGAGCTAGTGTGCATGGGCAGAAAATCCTTGTTGGACTGTCTAACTATTGCCACTGCGCCTGCACGGCTAGTGGCTCATCGGATTCTATAACCTAGGACAAACTTATATTTGTCCTAGGTTATAGAAACCGACAGCCTGGCAGGTGCAGTGGCAACTGTGGTTGTAGAAAGAATCATGTGATCGCGCAGGCGCTGTAACATAATATAACCTTTGACTAGGCTATAGAATCGGATGAGGCAATAGCCACTGCACCTGCGCGGTTATCGGCTTCTATAACAAATATAGGGCAAATATAACTGTAGTAGGTTATAGAAATCGATAGCCACGCAGGCGCTGTGGCAATAGTTAGACAATTCAACAAGGATTTCCTGGGCATGCGCACTAGCACCATCTGCTGTAGATCTCCTACTGGCAGTCTCTGGATGTGACGTCACCAGCTGGAGAGGTCGACAAGTTGGAACCAATCTGAAGGCCACATGAAGTTTGGAGGTCTGTACCTATTGACTCTGCAGACAGTTGGAGACTTCGGCCACTGTGCGCTTCAGCATGCGCTGACCTCGCTCTGTCACTTCATGGCTGAGTTATTGTTCTTCCCAGTTGCTTCCACTTTGTTCTAATACCACTAACAGTTGACCGTGGAATATTTAGTAGCAAGGACATTTCATGGAACACCTGAATCCAATGATTTGGAGGTGCCTCCCAATACTTTTGGCAATATAGTGTATATGTGCATTCATTGTTTTTTGTTTTGTATTTTGTTTAAATATTTGCCTGGATTTCAGCCTTAAGGGCAGTGCAGTGCCCAGTTGTTTAGTGTGTGTCACTCTGCTTGAATACATTAACATTCTTAATGTAGATGTTTACAATGTATGCTTTATCTGTGCTAAAACCTGGTAGCATTGAGTTAGACTTTTTATCACATTTTATTTTTATTTTAGAAATCTAGGACTTTTAGACTATAGACTTTAGACTATACACTTAAATAACCTAAATCTTAACCTTAAATCTGTAATTTAAAGGCATAACAAAAACAATGAAGGTTTCAATCTTATTTTACTGTGCAGTTGCATTTCATTCTTAAATTTATCTAACATAACTCTTTTTGTTTGTATTTCTAGCACAGGATTACACTAAACAACATGACTCATGAGAGCACAATGGACTGCTGCTGTTGACCCTGCTATTGGATATTCTTGATCTTTGCTGAAGAGGATTTTTGAAACAATTTTCTCCATTAAGCTTAAAAAAAACACTGACATTTTATTGCAAAGGTCCAACACAAAATGGAGGATGGCTACAGAAACAATTCAAACTTTTACCAAGGAGCACGAGATATAGCTAGAGAAGTAAAGAGACAGACCAGTAACCAAGCCATGGATGATTACTCACGGTACCAAGATAACACACATGGAGGATATTCATCAAATGATGGCTATTATCACAGTGGAGAGCATGTCAACCAGGATGAGGATGCCCAGAGCGATGCCACAGAGGGACATGATGAAGATGATGAGATATATGAAGGAGAGTATCAGGGTATACCACATCCTGATGATGCAAGGGCCCAGCATAAGGATTCAGCCATAAGGGATGAATTAAGAGACCATGCTGACATTATGGCAGAGCGGAAGGAGGATGAAGAGCAGTTGGCTTACCAATATGAAAACATAATTCAGGAATGTGGGCATGGGCGTTTCCAGTGGACCCTCTTCTTTGTTTTAGGGCTTGCCTTGATGGCTGATGGAGTGGAAGTCTTTGTAGTTGGATTTGTGCTTCCCAGTGCTGAGAAGGACATGTGTTTATCGCGCTCAAACAAAGGAATGTTGGGTAAGCATCTTCATAGGTTCAAAGATGAGTCAGATATTTTTAGATTAGCGTAATGTTATTTCTCATTTGTTATGCACTTTTGAATGTGTTACAGACCATATCCAGCTTAAACCTTTATTTTGTTTTCTATAAAATAGGGAAAGGTTAGAACAGTGGTGATCAACTAACTTAATATGGGGGCCTTAAGTGTGACCCTTCACTAGATCCTTTATGAAAGATCAGAGAAAAATAAAATATGAAATGGGAAAAGTGATGGACAGTACAGAAATAAGTAAGATAGTATGCAAGAAATACAGATATTTAAATACTAGAAGCCAGTCTGAAGAAACACAGAATACTGACTGCAAAGGCTCTGAGGGCCACACAATAAATGCAAAGGGTCGCAGGTTGATTCCCAGGGGTTTAGAATGCTTGCAAATTTTTAATTGCTTTCTGTATCCGTTTTAGATATTTCACTAATTTCTGGTCAGGACAGGAAGCAATGGCAAATCTTGTCAATGGGTTAACAGAGAGAAACAAAAATACAATGTTGTTGCAGGAAGAAGGGTTTAAACTAAATTTCTATTGCTATCCATGCCTTCCTGTCATACTATTTCTTGAATGTCATAGGGACCGGAAGTGGGGGGGAAATATCTCCAGTGGAGTTACAGATAGAAATAAAAATCTGACAGAAAGTTTAACAGTTCCTTACTCTTTCCAAAACTAAAAAAAGTTGCATAAAGTTAGGTTTTAAATGTATTATTTTTACTGTACGAGCATCCAGTTTGTATCATGGTTCCTATAATTCATACCTTAACACACGCAAACACAAACAAACATGGTCCATTAAAAAAGATCAGAGGGAAAAACAATTAGAAACCTTAAAAAAGGACCTTAAAAAAAAGGGCCAGCTGAAATAGACTTAAAATTACTCTACGGGTCTTCCAGGCAACCAATCTAGTGAAGGAACAATTCATCAGGCAGCTTAGAGAATTTGACCTAATTACTTTTGCATTTCCTCATTGTAAGTATAGTATAGTATAGTGCATGGATATTTCCTTCCCTCACCTCAATAGGCAACACGCCTAAATGCTTAACTCTGCATGTTGTTCTTGGTTGTACAACCATCAGGCCAATGTTTTGCCTAAAGGCATTTGGACTGAGCTTGTATCCAAATGCCTTGTGCATGTTACAGAAGAAGCCAATCAAAAGTTTGAATTATCTAGTGCAAATGGAAAAATCCGTTCAAATAACCCCAGAAACAGGCATTGGTATAGTCTGCTATTGTAATTCTAAGGGTTAATAATACATAATTGAAGCCGTCTGTTTAAATTTTAAGTGTTTGGCCTTGAGGCAGTCTTTGTTCACATGAACTGAATCTGCAATCCTTGTATATATCATACAAGTCATTGACATATTATTTAATATTTGGTGTATAAAACCAAATCATCATTGACTGTTATCATTTGATCATTTGCTTCTGTGAGCAAAGAGATAACAAAACAATAAAAAAGAACAGTACAGCAGTTAACAGCAAATGTGTCTATTTACTCAGTTAGGTTGGTGGATTTTATTGTAGTGCAGAAAAGAGCGGGATGACACTTTATTACAAGGTACCATGAGAACAATTCAAGCATAGCATTGCCATCTGTCATTTCTGGCCTTGCTTTGAACTTAAGAATGAAATATACCCTCTGCAACTGTCCTTGTGTTAAAATGGAAAAACAGGACAGTGTCTTTGAAAAAAACAACCTGTTGACCTAGAGACTTTTGTTTCTTGCTTGGGGATACAGTGATTCATGCAGAATTTTGCATGAATTTAAGTCATGTAGCAGGAGTAAATCTGAAAGTTAACATTTAAAGGACAACTCTAGTTTTGTATAAAGGTTAATATAACCTTATTATTCCTACACTAGCCATACAGTATTATAATTAAATGTTATAATTAAAATGACTGCTTCATTTCAATCTGCAGCAGTTATGATTTTGTAAAACTTTTAAGTAGTAGTAGAGTTTTGTACTGTGTTGGCCATCCAGTAATTTTGAAGTTAAAGTGATACTTTTTATTGGCTAACTTTAGATATTAAAGATGCAAGATTTTGAGATGCCTTTGATCGCTTCCTTAGGCTCTATACATTTCTGGAAATGGTTCTAAAACCCACATATTTATAGACAGAGGGACAAGAAGGAGCAATTAACCACTTCCCATTCCCGTAATTAAACGGCCGGCCGGGAGTTTCTTAAATGTAATAGGGCGTTTACAAATGTCAACATTTAAAACAGGCAACGATGCCTGTTTACATACAAGCTATAGAGCCACCGGATCACTTGTATGAGGTGCTGGTCGGTGTGCACCCCCCCACAGCAGCGCTGGCCCCAAGCTCCGCAGCACTGACAATTCTAGGGCCACTATTCAAAGATGATACTAAACTGATGAGCGGTTAAAGCTTTTAAAGCATCGCCTATGGCCAATATTGGCTATGGTAGTGTTTTGCGATTTTGCGGGTGCACGCAATTGAAGGCTTGACATGTTTGGTGTCTATTTACCAGATGTGATCCCGTCTTATATATTTTACAAAAACATTGGGTAATAATAAATGTATTATAACTTAATGTAAAAAAACCTGTTTTTTTTTCTAAATGTTCGGTAATTTTTCCTTAATATAGTAAATAATAAAAAACTCAGTTATGATTAAATACCACCAAACGAAAGATATTTCTGCCCCAAACCCCAAAAATGGTATAAAATGTATTTCATCACAGCGTTGCATGACTGAATAAATGTAAGTCAAACTACTGCAGCGCTGAAAACTGAAAAATGGCCTGGCCAGGAAGGGGTGTAAACACCAAGAGGGTTGTTCACTTACCTGCCGAAGGATCTGAAGGATCCAGCCGTAGCATCACAGTCGAACTGAAGGGCTGCTGCACAGGCTATTCACAATAGCTCGTACAGTAGTCAAAGGCAGCCGAGCGGCTCAGCCAAGCCAAACGCATATGCTGCCATAGATACAGCCGAAGCGGGGAGACCATTTTCCACGCAAAACAGCTGGGCAGAGCCTCGAGGACACTGGGTTGTCATTAAATGACAACATTTGTTTTGATTTGTCTGGGATCTGCAGGCAGGCTGACAGGTGCTGGACAAATGTAAACAGTTGGGCGGAGCTAGCGGTGATGTCACTGCTAGCTCCGGCCAATTGTTTATATTTTACTGGCATCTATTAGAATGTCATTCTGCAGCGGGAGTTCATCACGTGCGGATGGGTCGGTGGGCGTCAGGTTTTTTAAAAATGATCTTTTTTTTTGGGATTGACCCTGGATTACGTTGATGGATCCATTTTAGGACGTGCCAAAAATCCTTTCTTGTTTTTTTTCCAATTAAAGGATTTTTCAACGGTCTGGCCTCTTTTTTTAAATTTAAATTTAACCTTTTAGTGAATGGGTAGGGGTACTCCTTTATTAAAGGGTATCCTAATGTGAATAAGCCCCCCTGCCGGCACCCCCACAACCAACACCCCAGGGCTTGCGGGAAGAGGCCCTTGGCCCTATCGGCACGGGGACAAGGTGCTTTTCCAGGGGGGACCCTGGAAAAGCACCCTCCCAGTACCGAGAGCATGTGGCGCTCGCTTGTCCCCCCCCCTTTTCCTGCCCTGCCAAGCCTATGCTCGAATCAAAAGTCTGGTTTGAAATTTTTGGGGGGACCCCACATTTCCCCCCCCCATTTTTTTTTTGAATAAACATTTTTTTATTTTCATACGGTCAGTATAAGATTTACAAAGTATTGTATCATATACCAAATGGACAATAAAAGCTAAATATACAGAGAAGGAAACAGCATAATGATCAAAACATTTTCACATGTTAGCTTTCTGTTAGGGGTATACCCAGATAGCAAGAAATTGTGCTGCAAGTTTGAAAATGACTTGCTAAACTCTTGCAGACTTGCCAAGCTTCACAATTTTGTTGCACAATTACAGCAAGTCTGCATTGCAAGTCTCCAGACCAGCGAGCTTGCAGAGCTCTTGCTAAGACCTGCAGGACTCTTGCTGTAGACTTGCCAAGCAAATTTGCTACAAATTCAAAAAGTGTCAACAAGAAATTATGCTGCAAGTATTCTGCAAGTCTACAGCTTGCCAGGAACATGTGCAGCAAGTTAACAAAATTACAATTTAACCCCGACACAAGTTTGTGGCAAGTTATCCTTGCTATCTGGGTAGTACCGCGACCTCGGATCATCAAGACAAAAGTAGAGTAAGAGCATTCGCAGTCCATCTAGGACTCCATTTTACTACTGGTAGACTCCTCAAGGCGAGCGGTACACAATCCTTCAATAAGAGAAAATTGCCTGTCCAGCTCATTTTTCACCCAATTTTTAGCACATATTAGTGACTAAACTGTATGTATCGATAGAAGATGCACATGAAATTAGGTCATGGACATATTTATCATTAGGATGAAATGTATCTCAACGCATGTCTAAACCATTATATTGAAAATTAAACAATTTAAGAAATTAACAAGTTAACAAGTACCTCACTCCACTTCCAGGGCGTATAACATTCTAAAGTAACCTTGCTCCTTCTTGATCCTGTCCCACTCTTCCTTGGATCTGCCACCCAGGTCTCAGTCCACTCCCGGTTAAACTTGGTTCTGCCATTCTAATGGCTAGCCACTACGTTTGAGATATAGTAGCCCTGCTCACTAGGGAACAATGGTAGTCGATATGGAGGTCGGCTGCCAAATCCTCTATATGTTCAGTTTATAAGGAAAATCAGTATAAAATACTGTACCAGTGGTACTATACCCCCGAGTTTTTACGCTCTGTATTCCCGAAAGTGTCGCCAGAATGCTGGCGAGGGGATGGACAAGTGGGGGTCCCTGTTTCATATATACTGGTCTTGTCCAAGGTTGCAAGCTTTCTGGAAGATGGTCCAAACCACACTGGAACGTTTGCTACAGTTAAAGCTCCCTTTGCAACCTATTCATTATCTACTGGGCCTTCCGTTCCCCCACCACCGTAAGCA